CCCCTATTTTGTGAGTCACAAACAAGACTGCTTCTTTCAGTCCTTCAGCTTGGCTGCTTCCTCAGCTCCACAGCRGCTCTGTGACTTGAATTATAGTGAGGTCTCAAACCCACTCACCACCAGAGGCACAGACGAAACGCCGTATCATCACCTTGAAGTTTCTGAAAGAGCCAAGTGGGTTGTTTCACAACAGACCGAAGCTTAGTTAGGTGCTGTCGTATGAATACTGATGAACGCATGAATWTTACCGAGAGGAGATTAACGGCTTAAGTGTAAAAATTTCCGTTCAAGAAACATTTGTTGTTTAATTTCTGTGCTCCGTTGCATGGATGCCAACATTACAGCTCGAGGTGACGCGTATCCCRCGTGGTTCCACGGGGACCTGAAATGGCACAAAGCCTGCTGTAAGCYCGGGCGTTCGAGGGCGTAAACTGTTTATCGAATTCATGTGGCCATCTCTTTAAAAGCTGATATGGCCAGCACAAACGTAGTTCAAAAACCTTGTAAGAACCCCCCCAACACATACACACACACAGGCCCCCTTCACGCACACGCACACACACGCACTCTGCACACCAGGGGGCCTACTACAGAAGACCCTGCACTGACTGCTCATTTACATTTCAAACACTCACTATAACTGCGAGGGATTTGATGTTTTCCCTCTCTGCTCGGCGGTCTTATTCCTCGGCTGCTAATTCTCCGGCAGCCATACTGTCTGTCTGGATGTAGCGGAGCAAGTATGGCGACCACAAAGCGCTGCTTTTCCTCTTTGCCTTTGACTGGGGTTTGCTTCTATATTGTGCCAGTACCATACGGCCCTCGCAGTGCCTGAATATTCACGCTTAACTCAAAAGGCTGGAAAGCTCGCTGCGATGATTTTATGATCGGCGTGCAACGGTTCGACGGGATAACAAAGTGGCCACACTGTTCGGTGCACGGTTTACTTTCAAAAGCTTTGTTGATGCACGCGGCGTGGGAACCGTTCGGTGTATGTGGCAACCCGGAGTCGTGTCTCCATGTGGAGAGAGCAAATACACTTTGTTTGTTTCCATAATCTGCTTGTCGATCACCTGAGGCCCAGTGAGAAGCCCAGGCTGCAACGAAAGAGGGGCAGGAAGCCAGAGGTGGTGGTGGTGGTGGGGGGGGACAAAGCGGTCCACCAGGCCTAGACTGCAACCAGGAAGAGCCAGTTTTCCCCCACGAGGTCAGACTGCAGTGGAAATTTGTTCCGCTGGGCTCTGTGGACTCTGCCTGCCCGTGCATTTCCTCCTATTAACACTGCCACATATTAATACACAGGGGTCTGACTGTTCAGACTGGAACGAGAGCACCGACACGAATATGTCATCTTCAGCACAGGCCTGACACTCGCTGACCCGGAGAACTGGAGACTTGGTGTGACTCCTGCAAAATCAGGACAGAATTAAACAACGAGATGGAAAATATAGATTTCTATTATTTGCCACAGACAGCATCCAGCAGAGGTTGGGAGGAATCTCCTGTGACTTCCTGAGGGAGAATTTACAGAATTTACAAAATATATATATATATACATTTTTTTGTTATTAGTTACAGATAATTGAAATGTGAGCTTTAATTCAAAGMCCATCCCAGACACTGAGCTGTACAAAACACTGTGTGAGACTTTAAAGGTGTGGGGGTCCATCTAATTAACCAATTAGAAATTTTTTGCATGCAGTTTGAGTCTGCCATTTTTTAAATCCTTTGCCATACTGATAATAATCACACTGATAAAGCCACGTCATTAAATTTTCAACATACAGCTATATAAAAGCTTTGGATAAAACTTAGTTACACCTTGTTTGCTGTTAAAAAGCACTGTTTTTGTTGAGTTCAACATAATTAGGGTATAATGAGGTTAACTAATAAGGTTAAATGACATCAGAGGACTGTGGGAGGCAAACAAATGCTCTAACAGCCCATTATTTATAATTTTCTCCTTATGCAGACAAATGTCTGTTTTTATATCATTGTAATGACATAACATACTACTACTGAATTACAAAAAAATATATATTTTTAAGGTGATCCTGATGTTTAATTTCCTAGGGGATTCAGCAGCTGGAGAGGACACATGATTAGTAAGRCAGTGACATATATTAACCTGTTAAAACAAAAACAATGCGGGGAAAGTGAAAGGAAAGCAGTTGTTATGAAACCTGAGAACTGGAGCTTCGGGCTTCAGCCWCTTTCTGAGTAAAAGCCCTGACAGTGTAATGAGGAGCAAAGGTCTGGCTCCGTGTAATTCATGCAGAGCTGCGTCATTAGGGCTCTGGACAGATCTGGTCTCACTTCAAACACTCGTGTTCCTCCTCCACTGCGCTCMCAGAAGCCTGGAATAATGAGCAGGTGCCGGGAGGAGCATGAAGCACAGCCTCCTGCACTTTACACACAGGTAACAACCCCTTATGGCTTCATGGTAAACACCGGGGTTTGAACTGGGCTGAGCCTCACCAAGAGGCTAATAATAACAACAATAATAATAATAATAATGTAATATTCTCCGTGTGTGGCCACTTACCCAAAATCCTGGTCCATGGATTTGAAGAAGAATTTGTAGCTGCTGACCGGCCGATTGTTGAGGACATTTTTAAAATCCGCTAAGGTGACTTTCTCCGGAGAAACAGAGAGTTTGACCAGATACGGAGTCTCCTCCTCGTCTATGTGATATATGATTTTAGTCTCCGCCATGAGAGAGACGGGAGGACAATCATTGACACAGGAAAGGAACAAGGGTTGGCAGCGCACTAAAACAGGCCTGCGGTGTTACCAGCTACCCGGAGCAGCGTAACACAACAGCATTCCCTAATACCTCAGCCCGTACATAACACGACAGGAAACACAGCTCCGCGGCTCCGAGAAACACGGTGAAAATCCACACATAATCCCCTGCTGAGTGCCTGTATTCCTGCTACGGTGGCTCTCTCGGCACTAAAACAGGAAGGGACAGTCCACATCCTTGCGATATGGAGTAGTTGGGAATATTGCTATTTTTCTAATTGGTTAGCGAGTGCTGCCACCTAGTGGCGTATCTGCGCTGCGCCTCTGAGGCTGGCATTATACAACATGTAGCTCAGTAATGACGGGGAACAAAGAAGTCCGACCTGCTCCTGATTTTAGTGTTTTATTTCTTTGKAACATAAAGAAAGCTTGCTTACGACAACTTTAATGTCTGATTACATTCTGCATAAACAACAGAAATAAAAAATATTTATTACAATCAAAATATGCTAATGTTTTCCAACTTTACAGCCATATTATTTTTTATTGAGGTTATGTGTTAAAGGTATGAACACTGGATGTCTTATCTGTTGTAGACAGCTGTTTGAATGGCATCAGTCTGGAGAAATTGAGTTCAGTTTTGACCAAATTGATTAGCTGACAGCTAGTCTTATAAGAGCAAGACCAGGGTTGATTGCTGCAATCCTAAWACATTTTTTTACATAGTAAATGTAAAATTTACAGTACCCCTCTGGTGACATTGCATAAAAAATCTAAATAAATAACGTGTTACATGTCCAGTTGTACGCATTGTCCTTAAATTACACAGATTTCTCCCCATTTTGCATGTAAACAGATGTGTACGGATTTTTTTTAAAGACTTTCATTTAAATTTATTTAAGTCTCAGAGCCATCAGGCTGTAAGAGAATAAGTTCACCACCTCCTCGTCCTCCCCTCCCTGCTCGTCTGCCACTGCAGATGYTGTTATCTCAACCCTCACATCCTCTCTGCACAGCAGACAGTTCACTTGTCCACTCCTCCTGTTGTATTGTGTGAGAGTACTACAATTTGTTTTATTAAAATTATGGATYTCTGAGGGTCAAGATACAGAATAATGTCCAAAGAGGTTGACATGCATGGTGTGGGTACAAGATAATATTGAGAAGTGACTCTTGAATTACTCCATAACTAACCACAAGTGACTGAAGTGTGTCATTGTAATTATTCCCATAATTAAGTAATAATAATCATGATAAAGTAAAATAAAAATATATTCAAGCTTATCCATGTTAAYAATCAAAAGTCTGCATGGAAATTACACAAGAATTAATGTGTGGGCATGCATTATTATTTGTTTTATCCAATGTCACGAGTTGGGCTCCGTACAAAGCATTTTATGCAAGTGCAGTGTTTTAAAACCTGCTCATTGTTGTCAGTTTCACATTACACAGTTATTTATTTTATCAGGACCAATAGCAGCAGCACTTCTAGTTAGTTTTGATGCCTTCAGTGTGAATCTACAATTTTCATTGTCATGAAAATAAAGAAAACTGTTTGAATGAGAAGCTGTGTCCAAACCTTTTGTCTTTACTGTATATATTTAGCATTTAACACTAAATGTGAGAAATATGCACTAAATGTGAAGAAAGTGCGCTGTTTTCTTTTTGTTTTGTTTCTTTTTTTCATTTAAATTTTACTCTTGGCACCCCATATAAGAGAGTTGAAGATCTCTGACCAGAACTGACCTCAAAATCCAAAATGGCTATCTTCTGYATAAAAACTTGCTATTTATTTTCACCTCTATTGATGTGTATCTCACACATCAGTTGCACACACACAATACCATCTGACCCCCATTTGTGAACATGTTGCTACAGTATATGCGAATGTTWTCATTATGTAATGTATGTAATAGCAGATAGCAATTAAAAGAAATCCTAGCAATTTTCTAACTCTGAACTGGAACACTGTCAAGTCTGCTCTGATGAGTTTTGAGGYAAAAAGAACGTAACACAAAACTATTTCACCTCTCTGTGGTCACTCGTGGAGTTATTAACACCAGGGAAATTATTCATTGTTCATAAATTTACAAGAGACACCACTTCAGAATATCTGTCACACTTTTAAACATGTTCTTAATTTCAAATAAATGCTCATCCAATCATCATGTTCAGTTCAGAAAATCTTTCCATTCATTCTTGTTATCAACTATTATATCAGAAACTCACCAGATAAAAGACAAACACTTTATATTTGGACATGCAGATTTATTAGTAAAGTTCAGTGTTTGATAAACCAGATTATTAATCTGTACATCATTAATGCAACAAGGATGTTTTAGTTTATTATTGGATCTTTCTTTCTTTTTTTCCTGAGTTCCTGTAAACTGAGCCTTTAGTCCACTGTCTCTTCTTCACCTGATCAATTACCAGTGTTCATGTGTTCAAGATGCTGTTGTAAGATTTAGRTTGTATTTGAAGAATCATTTTATTCCGATATTTTGTATATTTGAGCAAAACCTTCAATAAAAGCATCACTTTGAAACCAGTTTTAAAAAAACACTTTTGAAATATATTTGAAATATATATATATTTTTTTTTCATTATTATTCTTTTTTATTTTTATGCCACTTTTTTTCTTTTTTACTTAATTGCAAGGATTTAAATACAAGTATTTTGTGTACCACACTATGGTCAMTTCTGATTGATAAATGTACTTTGTTAATAAAGTTTATCTGATTTTATTACCAAAAATGTATGGCATTAGTTTTTGAACATTCTCTGAAAGTTTACTCATAGGTAAAATAACCTTTGCAATGTAATAACATGTGTTTTACAAACTACAGTCCAGCAGAGTTTTACGTTTTTTTAAAGAATAAAATGTCATCAGTTATTAAGAGTTCACCAATCCAGAAGTATGCACAGTACACAAAATTCAAATCTCAACCATCTGAATGCATATAGACCAAATTAAATAAAAATGGGAAAAAATGTGATTAAAATTATGTCAGATGAATAAATCCATTGCTAACAATCTGGATCAAATTGAAATGAAGTATGGAAAGCAAAGCTTTAACAATCAATTAGTGAATGCAAAGACTAATAATCAATTATATCTAATTGCATAGCTATGCCAGGGAAAATGCAAGTTATAGGAAAAAGCATTAAAATGTGATGCTCTTCAGTGAAAAGCTTCGTGTGCTCAGGTTTCAGCAGAGGGAGCATTCCTCCTGTCCTCTCCTGGAATTCCTGTAAGATTTTTCCTCTATTTTTTCCTCTCTACATGGTCCTTCACTCCAATGGGTTTTTGCCCTGGACCTGCCAGCAGCTTCTCACAATAATKCCACTCATTTCCACATCCTTCCATCAAATTCTGAAAGAAAAGTTGCAAGAGAGCCATCAAAACCAAATATCCTGTGGTTCTCAGATGCAGCATGGCTGTGATGATGAGTCAGTGAGTTGCAGTAGAGGAGGTCTCACCCTTATTGCAGTCTTTGGTCATATCTCTTTCTTTCAGCAGGTTGTTTTTGTATTCTGCACAAATCATAGTCGGCACACAGATTAAAAGACAGCAAGAGAATTAGTTGGATGTTAAACAGCACAAGTGTGTTTGCTGGGAGGTGTACTCCACCTGAGTTCAAAGGATCCTGGTTACAAGTCTTCAGCTCTGAACAGTCTAGTGTCATTTCTCCTTCGCTGCTCACGATTCCCCTGAACAAAAACAAGAACAAGTGCTCTCACTGCCTTTAACATAAATGGGAACTTGATGGTGGTTTWATATCTTACCGAACAGATCCACCATGCTCAAACTCCAGTCCTGAAACAAACAGTGAACATAATCAGTTTCCTGTTTTCTAAAAGCAAAAACAGGGAGGAAATCCTATAAAATGGTCCGAGGTAATCCATYAAACACACACAATGTACCTCTCTTTTTACGCCTCCTGGTCAAGACCACGACAGCGATGACAACGATCGCCAGCAGTAGGAGCGTTGTCAAGAAGTAGCCCAGATGCTGCACAAAATTATTTCGTTGTTCGGGGAGGAAGACGTTCACCACACGTGGACCCCCCTCGTTTGGTGACAGGGCTGCGGTCCCTGAAGGCAGCATACGATTATCATTAAACAACTTTACTAAMAAACATAGTCACTGTCTTACACACTGAACAAACTTAGAAGAAGAATTAAACATTAAACCTAGCACAAGAAGTAAATTTGTGTTTGGTTGATTGTTTCTTTGTTGTAACAATGTTTCTTGGTAATAAATCGTGTAACAGGCACCTGAAGGTACCAGAAGCTCAAAACAAGAGTCAATAACAACAAAATAAGCTGTTTGGCAGAGATTTCACACATTTTTCATGTGTGCAACYCACAYACTCAGCTCTACTGCTCATCCCACACATGCATGTTCCTTACAAATGTGGCACCATTTAAAAGGGAAATTAACAGACTTTCCAACTRTATAAGATWTRTTGCCWAGAAGCAGTGTTACAACAAAGTAATRATCTACCAAACACAAATTCCCTTACTTTTTGTGCTGTTTATATGTAAGCTCACAAACCCTCAGTGAAGCAACAATAATYAGAAAACTTTAAACATTCAGCCTGAAACTCCCACATTTATTTAGACCTRACTCCTGTTATAATCTGAAGACAGTTGTTTTTGACTGCCATTTTAATTTTAGTCTTAGTCTTTTGAACAAAAATACTTCTTAGTTTTAGTCAGTTTTATTTATTTCTATATTTAATGGTTTTAGTCCAGTTATAGTCGACAAAAACTTTAAATAAATTGTTTAGTTTTAGTCTTAAAAAAGACAACATGTTAGTCTTTACAAATTAATTTGAGTAATTTGTGTTAACATTTGTGAATTTGTGTAATTTGTGTTACTCTAAAAATGCCCAAAACAAAAACATTCTCACTTTGTGGCTTTATTTCTCAGAATTTGCTAAAGTGCAACGAACATTCATAATACACATGTCCAATATTAGGCCCATAAGCAATAAAGGGGAACACACAACTCAAACTTGTCAACCAGGACGATGAAGATCCCTCCCTGGCAGGAGTCACTTTTAAAAAGACAAGCAGACAAAAAAGCCAAGCACAAAGCAAGTTCCAAACAGTTACTGTGCAAAACGTAATGGAAAATTTTCCCAAATTCTAAGTGGCAGAATTGTCACATGTGACAATTTATWTGTCTGTTTGTTTTGTTTTGGAGATGAGAAGTAAAAAAAAAATGCTTCCAGTTTTGAAAACATAATTTTGAGCTCAGAAAGAGCAGAAGTGATAGTTTGGAAGCGAGCACTGTGCATTCTGGTGAGGGTTTGAATGAAAACTGTAGGTCCTGTAGCAGCGAGAGACACACTGGGTGAAGACAAATGTCTAAGTCCTTGTGTATAAACTATACCTATAAAAATTTAAAGTTTGTGGAAATAAGTACTGTAAGTTTGTTTGCAAAGTTTTGGGAAAGTTTAGACAGCTCCAAAGTGACAGTGTGAGATATCATCACACTTTAAGTTGAATATTCTTGGCAAAACCTTAAAACAAAGAAGAAGAAAAAAAGACAAAACATAAAACTCATACTATATTTGTGCAAAACCAAGTAAGGACTTCATAACGTGTAAATCCAACTTTCTGTGACCATTTTAAACTTTGAATTATGTTTATGCTGTGATATTTCTGAAAAAAAAACTGTAAAAAGAGCTGATTTTTTTTCTCACTTGATTAACTAAAATTCCATTGTTTTGTATGTGGACATTATTATTA